TCAGGAAAATAAAAAACTACACAATAATAATTTAAGATCCTGATTTGTAAGAATAAGTAATTCTTACAACTTGAAGTTGCAGATTTTTGCAGTTTTTGTAGCTGCACAAGAGCTAAGTGATATTTTCACTAGATACGTGTAAGTGAAGCACAAACATCCGTGTGGACCGTTAATAGTAGCTTTAACTGCAGCATGCAATATATTCTAATATGAAAAAGAAACAAAAGCATTAAAGCCACTATTTGCATAATATTAGACTATTTGCCTTCTATCCAAACCCACTTCTACACTAAGAAAACCTTTTAGAGTCTTCTAGGATGAAAAATGTATCTAAATACAGCCATACTTTTCAATTAGCACACACATACACTGCACACATTTAACTCCTAATTTTGTTAAAAAAAAGCAACCAACAGTTGAAACCTTAGAGCAGTATTATCTTGAGAGTGACTGGTCCATAATGATATAGGAGTAGTTTAAAAGTCTTGATCTTTTCACACTAAGAAAGAACTGTTATTGGAGAGGATTTGCAGTGAGATTCCCTTTTCATTCTAACGGCATTAAAAAGCGTAAAGACTGGAAGACAGAGGAGCGGCGCTGACGTCACAGTCCAAGAGTCACCCGCCGTGTGTTCGGCGTCTCCAAGTGAAGACTTATCTGCAAAGAAGTTTGGACGGACAATGTGGGTGGACAGGGCGTGAAACTACTATCATCATCAGTTCTGAATGAAAAAAAGAAAACATATCTTCCACAAAAAAGAAGGCTCATTCCAATTCAGCTGCGTTGTTAGGACAACGAGAACCATCCCTCAGATGATTAGTTCCACTTCAAAAGAATTTACTTTCCGCAGTGGAAACGTCCCCCTTTTGTGTCCTTACACAGGGTTTTCTCAGCCCAAAAGAAGAATCGTATGTTTAGTCAGCCTGTTTATTATTCCTTCTGTTCCCACTACAATTGTATTAAATAAATAGAGTATGACTAACAAAGGCCTATTAGCCCATAAACATGTCCTGGTACACACAAAAAAGGCTAAATCACAGTCTCTGCATGAGAATTAAGTTACTCTAAATGCTGGTAAAGGCATAAACTGCACTGCTCGGGACATGGTACCAACTTAGAATGTCTTGTCACTGACATCATGAAACATGCATGTTATGTTGCACATATTTTGTCAAACTGGGGATTTGTTATGTGGCTCCATCTCAATTTTGAGAGACGCCGCGCCCCTTGCAAAACAGAGCTAGTCACCGGTGATGTATGATGTGAATGCACGGCAGTATGCAGTGTGTTTTCTGGTGCATATATTGTACAAGACGATGAATGGATTGTGCTTGTTGGATTCTCATAAGCAGCAAGGCCAGTCACGTAGATAGGAGTCCTTACATTAAAAAAAAAAAAAAAATCAGATAAACATGCTATGCACGCTTTAAATTTACTTTACAGACATTTACACGTTTTACATGTAATTCTTTAAGTTAGTCCAAAATTGACTAAAATGTATTTAAAAACCATTGTATTAATCACTCAACTCTATTTGTTACATAGACATTAATGTGATTACTACTGTGTGGTTAAAGCAGAAGATCAAAGAGAGTTACAGCGGTTAGCTTGATCGTTAACCAGACTACCTTCAGATTTCAAAGACACAATTTCAATGCAAAAGCGGCTCAGCTGAAGTTCTGCTGGTTGCTCAGATAAACAGACATATTGCCTGAATCAGGATGAAAAGTTATTTTTTTATTTTTTTGACATAGCCTGCAACTGGCAGCTGTGACATCATGGTTACTTTGATTAGACGTTTGTTGTTTTTTAATGTGAGGTGTATTTATGAAGCTGAATCCCCAAATCAGCCTGGAATACAAAGATGTCTGCAGTCCTTCGGGCAACATGCAAACAGTCTAGCAACAATAAGTAAAGCTCTACTTCTCGAACAGATGATATATTTATATAAGGACCCTTAACAATTTAAAGAAAAACGTATTCTTTTATTTATTGCTGAATCTCTCTGTCTTGTTCTTGAACAGTTCTTCAACTGCATATTCCTGGTTGATTTAAAAAAAAAAAAAAAGTGCCAAAACACTTCAATCATTTCAGTGGTCCACACTGTCTTTGATGACTGTATATTTCAATCATTTCAGTGGTCCACACTGTCTTTGATGACTGTATATTTCAGTACTTATATGGACTGGAAGCATGCCTGGTGTGGCTCAGGATCTATTTTTCCCTTCATGATCAGTGATGAGCCTCCTTGTGACCTACAGTATATTTATATGCTCAGCATAAAGAGGCCTCTTGGCACAGGACACGCCACCAGCAGCCCTTTAATGTTAGCAACTGTCCAAGCTTTGATTTCTGATCGATGAGTAAGGTTGGTGCAATAGCAGAACGACACTACTGGTCACTACTGGTCCCTTTTTCCACAACAGGAAACATATCCTTTCACACGGCAAAGCAGTCCTGCTCCCCCGACCCTCAGCAGCCACCACACCACCCGTTTGAAACTGGACAAAAGTCCCTCTCAGCTACAAATGTACAGAATAAACAGTATAGATGTAACATATATTGACTGAGCAGGATGGAGGCCAACAAGTGGGAATACAAGTGTTTTACCGTCCACAAGCCAGGATTCACTACGCCTGTAGTTTTTGTTATTTCAAAGGACTAACGCATAAAGCATATACACTCAGGGGTCACTTTATTAGGTACACACAACTCAAACTCAGTCTAATACAACAGGCCTGCTGACTTCATGACGGTTATAGTGTTTACTTGTTCAGAGGCTATGTGGTGCTGATGTGTGACGCTGCGTTATACTGGGAGGTGTTCCTCGTATTTCGAACCATCACATTGATATTAAAAAGGGCACAACTATTAGGAAGACGTCTCAGTGAAATGCAATATAATTAAACTGCACCACAAAGTCCAGTCTCGAATATGACCAGAGAGCATTGCATCGGTAAAGCTTTAAGCTCCACAATGTAATATCCATAGGCAGTATATAAACATTTAATAAGGGTCTGTATGAATAGATAATGAATGAATGACTATAGTAAAACACAGTTGCAATAATATAAAATATGTCATCAGAGCAGAAGTTATACTTGTGATCAACTATATATATATATATATATATATATATAAAATGTGCAACACCACCGTTAACTATGACCTTAGTATTAAACATGTCATTTAATTTACAAATTCGCGACGATGTCAACAAAACCTGAACATAAAGGTAAAGATATTATAGCACAGCTGTTTACTTGAATTGCAGTAGATTGTGCAGGTGTTCCGGCTAAAGTAGCCAATATAGCCTTACATTTAAGACAGAAACTATAATGGTTAAAATACTTTTATATGTTTTTCATATTCCCTAATAAATGAGGATGAGCTGACTTTGAAAAAAAAGAAATAACTTAACTCAACTGCAACTAATTGCTTCTTTCATCTATCCAATTAAAAGCAGAATTTTAATCAGAGTAGTTTATTTCTTGTTTTGATAGCTCATCACGTGCCACGGCCTTCTAATCAGCGCAGAAATGTAAGTATTGCAAATGAATTCAGCAGTGAGCCGTTATTTACAGCTATGATTTGCACCACTCTCTCCCTGCGCAGGGCCGAGCCCACAGCGACTGGGGCCTGTTCCGACAACCTCACTAAAGCACGTGTTGGCAAAGTTAGCTGCTAACTGCTAACATTTTTCAATCCATACCCACTCAGGTGTGCATGTGTGAGAGGGTGTGAGGAGGTTGTTAAAATGGTGCTGAGGATCAATAGGAAGTTGTTGTTAGTGAGAGACCTTTCAAGGGGAACATCAGTAAGGTGGCATCACAAGTTGTCATGTGTGATATTTGTGAAATGTATCTGCAGTGTTTCTACCTTCAGCGGCCTGTATAAACAGTCAGCAGCGACAGCTCAGCCTCCCCTGCATGTCCTGTGATGAAACAGCTCGGTTGCATGAGGTAATCTCACCCTTACCCAAATGAGATGGTAATGCCTTCACTCAGGGAATTCAGCAACACACAGCAGCACCTAGAAGGAGGCTGTGCAACTCAAATGGGACTAATAATAGATAACTCCGTTCTCTTAACTCGGAATCTATATTACACGCTTAAAAAAATGAGATCAACTATATGGGTCAGTGGGATTTCTGTGAGAGAAAAAAGAATGGAGCAACCAGAAGAAAATATGCTCAGCTGACAACAGATCTGAGGAATGCACGAGCTAATAAGAAAATGATTTGGGCTGAGTAACAGCTCAGAACTTTAATTAACAGAGCTGGTTTTAACTGATTGAAAGGGAATACATGTCCACACTCATGTGCATGCGAGCCTAATTATTTTCAACCCCTTGATTGTCTAAATAGGCTTTATAAATAAAAGCACAAGTGACTTGAAATGTTCAAAGGAAAATTATTTTCGAAATGGAAATGATCAAAGAGCAGTCTTTCATAACTGGTGTGATCTGTGAGCTAGAATACAGGGGGACTTCAGCTCCACGCCTGTGCGGCCTAGGTTTTACTTTGGAGGACACACACATACACACACTACTCCACCCCCAACATCTGGCTTTCTCACAATAAGAGACATTTATTAGCCTCCATCTTTGCTCAGGCTGTCCGCACATTAAACTGAACAAATAGGAAAAGAAACTCCATCAATTATCATCAATATACAGTATATGATACATGATATATGATATGAAAGATGAGAAATGGGATCATCTATAAGCATCCTGGGTGTTGGATTTACAACATGGGACAACAGTAAATCCTGTTTTATTCTGGAGATGAATAATAAAGCGTGTTTAGATAATTATGTCAGTGACTTCATGTTGCCTCTGGCATCTTATTCACATGTGTGTATTACCAACAGCCCACGCTGGTTCTTGATCCGTTTACTCTGTTTACGTTACTGGCTGGTAGCTTTGCTTTTCTTCTGTTGATAAAAGGAAGTAGATGTACATTTCAAAACACATGCAGAGAAAAGCTTGGTACTTACACTACAGCTGCACGGTAAAAAGCTGGAGAGAGGGAGTGGCTTTTTTTTTTTCCTCCAAGGCTCCTTGGCGTTATTCATGGCCCGTCAGATGTGGTTCTGAATTAAGTTAATGTACACAACATAGTTAATGATGTGTTGGATCAAGTGGTAATAATATAAGTCAAACACAGTACATGCATAGTTTTTACTGCTTGTTATGCTGGTGCTCTAAAAGTTTCAGATATTGTTATAATTCTAACAAGAATGTCACTGTCACTCTTTCTTCTCTTTCAAACACAATTTTGTCTCAGAAATCAGACCTTGTTTGGGCGCCGACCTGATATCTGTCAAAGCAGGGTGGGAATATTGTATTTGTCAAACTGAAAGGAGTTTCATTTCCCACCGAAAATGTTCTTTTTGTTGCAGATAAACATTTCTAAGACACACCCCAGTTACGCATGTGGATTGCATAATTATGTCAATTGCATAACTGAAAGAATACGATGGCACAACAGCAGAGATAATGTAGATAAAGGAGTAGAGCTGAGGATAAGCACCAATTACCTCAGCCATATCCCACTTTAATAAAGGAACTATACGAAACACTCTGCTTCTGCATAGGTGATGGTTTTTTGATCCACTGCCTCTTTCAGAAACCTGGAACACAGGATTATTCCCTGCGGACAGAAATAGATGCAGTCATTCCGCCTTGTTCTTTTTGAAAGTCATCTGTGGAAGAGCGCAAACTTCAGAGGTTTAAGTCAGCAGAGATACTGACATTGCACTAATCCTGGGACAAAAACACTGCAGCTGTTTTTGATGTTAAATGTGCTCGCGCGCACACCTACACATTGTACATCAAATTACCACATCATAGCATATGTCCAATACAAGGTTAGGCTGCCTCATTGATCACGAACAAGATGAAGGGACAGTCCTTCCCTTTGCCACTCTTAAATCCGTTACCTGGGCTGCTCAAAGCATCGCCACTGGCTAATTACTATCTCTCATGCCCCTTGTGCTCCTTTTATCCTGTGGCTAATGATAAACTATTCCCATCAATGCTTCTTTAACTTCAGAGGGACCTAAATGACACTTTGGTCTGTTTGGATGGTTTTATTGATGATTGTAAATAAATAAAGCAACAATAGGTTACCTTGCATTTCTTCCTGTTGCCTCTGTGCCATGAGAGTGCTTCTGTCTGTGTCTCGCATGCACTTTAGGGTCAACACCACACCAAATCACATTTGTCCCCTCCATTAATGTCACAGCCTTAAAGCAACATATCATCACAGTGCGGAGCTTGGTCTAACTGTAATTGAAAAGGCCCAAGGGGAATTCCTGGGTTGTGTGTGTGGGGCCCCTTAACCCCCGCCACCCTACATCCATCATTGTAGAGTTAGGCCCTGGGGTGCTCTTGTAACGCAGAAGGTTAACAGTGAGATCGCCATGCGTCCTCACTCACGGCTCTCTAAAATGTGGCCCCCGTGGGCCCCCAGGACTGCTACAGACACTAGACACCGGCTGAAAACGACATACAGCATCACGTCGAGTACATGTTCATTTGACGACTACATACCAAGGAGTGCAAGCTTGAGCACGTCAACACATCCATGTTCAGTGAATGGATGGACTTCAATAGGGATGTGATCAGAAACAGAATCCTTCCTTCAGATGTCGAGTTCACAGGCTTGATTACACAGACGCCTTGCAATGCATACTGCAACAGATAAAATTAAACACTCGCGATTACTCGCTGCTTTGAAACACCCTGGACCGTGATCAATGTGATCTCTTTTTTAAGTTCAACCTCAAACGACGGAGATTTGAGAAAACATACAAAAAAGTATTCAAATGCGGTATCTCACAACAGAACTGAATTGTTGCTAATGAAATGTGATAGTTGTGAGAGACAGCAACGATAACAGGCACTTAGGCTCTCTTTGCACTGTTTTTTTGTAAAATCTAAGGCATTGTGCTCTTTAGGCTTCGTGATCAAAGCCTTTATAACATTTTCAAACAAACTCTTCAAATGCATTCAGTAAAATGTGAATCATTAAGCAGAGGCTCTGAAAATGTAACTGATCATTTCTCATAGATCATATGCTGTAGAACAAGCAGATAGAGAAGATAAAGGCATCAATTCCTGATTCAACGTGCAGATTGAAGCATATTCATCCGGCTCTTCACATACATGAAAGCCACCAGCTGCCCTTGCCAGGGAGCGGAGGACATTAAGGCTCAGCCTGGTTGATCTCTGACGACGAGGGTCTGAAGGAGGGATTAGAAGCAAGGGGACCAAAGTTATGGTCATTCCCTTAAAAAGGATGGCACTGCATCTCATAGGCCTGGAGCTTACAGGAGTTGAAAGATCTTCAAAGGTCTGCTCACCCCACTCAACCTACTCTAACACTCAAAAAAAACCTTGGGTCTGTGAATTTTGAAAGATGTGGACTTTTAAAACACTATTTATTTTCCTTTTGCATTGCGACAGGCCACAACAAATACCCAAGGCCATAGCTGAAAACTTTTGCTCGCAGTTTGTTGTTTGTTCTTCGCATGAAATAATCATCGTCAGTCATTTGGTTACCGGCTCATAGGAGACGATTAAAGCCTCCATGATATCTCAGAAACTGGCTCATCAGAATATGTCAAAATATCTGTTATGCAAGGCATGGATAATAAATGAAAAAAAAGACATCTTTTTTAAGAACCATCCACAGGGGTAAATTGCAATGCATCAAAAGACACATATGCATTAGATATGAGGAGAGGCGGGGCCTTTCCCTCTCTCCCGCTGCATATTGGCTGCTCAGCGATGCTGAGTTTTGGCGAACTCTGCAACAATAGTCGGAGAGCTGAGTGTTCGAATGGCTTAAGTTGACAGTGGAGCGACCGTTGGGGAGAGTGAATAGGAGCCTAGTTTAATAAGCCCGGGTACAGGCTGGACTACACAGGGGGCTGGGCACCGCTGAAATCAGAAAACTGCAGTGCAGATGAAGATGAAGATGAGAAAAAAAATCTAAGACGATCAGTCTGGTTAAATCATAAGAGCACAGTGCCGGGACGCTACATTCATACTCACCATGTTATGGTTTGTAAACACATTAAACATATAATGATTGCATTGTCTTACATAAGAGCCTCGCTACTGAGGGTGTTTTAAAAGCTTATTAATTGTCAAGCTGTCAAATTAACACGGGCTTAGACATAAAACAGATTACCTTCCTAATGTTCTCAGAGAAGAAAAAAGTGACATGAGCTACACATTCACTTCACTCCACTGTTTCATCCTCTTGACATGTTCAATCTTTTCCTTTAGAATCAATCTTTCTTCATTGTAACGGTTGCCCTCAGTGTGCATTGTGAGCATCACTGATGCCAAACCCCTCAGTAGCTGCCATTCTCCAGCTGGAAAGAGAATGTGGAATTTTCTTTTCAAGCAGCAGTGCCGCTGTATCCAGTTTACCATGTGGGTTTGCAATTTTCCATAGAGAGGGGAAGGCAGATATATGAGTGAAGTTCCATGCATGTTTAGAGGAGAATCTGGCAGAGGACACCTACTTACCGTGGAACCACACTGGCAGAGATTAGGGGGCCATCATGAAGGAGCCATAGAGGGTGAAGATAGCCAGGAGCTGCGGGGATAGAGATAGATGAGACGTAGGAACAAGAGGACCTGCCAAAAAAAAGGGGAGGGGGCACAGAGGGGCGGATGAAAAGAAAGCAAGTTGGGGAGCAACAGCACCGCTGGTCTGACCTGGGGAGGATGGGGGTGAAAAGCCAGAGATCCAATTAAAATCACACGTGGTCAGTCAGAGTCAACGCTGACGCAGCCTCTCCAGTCCGAACCGAGTGCTTAAACCACACTTGGAAAAGTATGGGAGCCGCACAGCGTAAGTTACGCAAGATGTCATACATGATTATGATGATGCATAAAACCAAAGACCTGGTGTGACAAAGCAGCCCACCCTCTGGTACACAGCTGGGGCTCAACCAAAGCATGGCATAACAGAAACGCAGGGGGGGCAAGATGGCAATTCAATGAATCCCAAGGTGAAATAGGCGTATTTACATTAAATTGACGTATACTGTATACCCTGTCCAAAATGGCGCCTGTGCTTGTTGCTAGGCAGAGAGTGCGAGAGTAAAGATGGCGTCGGCAAGTGGCAAACTGCGGAGGTCTAATCAGTTGTGATTACTGGGGGGAAGGGTGTGGCAGGGTTCAATGATTACGGAATATTACCACGGCTTGGTCAGAATACACCACGGAACGCTGACGTACTGTAGTCCGAGAAATTCACCGTTAAGGTTGCTGCCTTTTGGCTTCATACACGTCCTCACACAACAAACGGAAAATCAGTTTCCCTCATTGCAAATACAGAGGCTTCTCTGAGCACAAAATGATGTTTGATTCCCTCTATTGTGTTTTCTGTGAAGAGATTTACTATTTTTAGAAACAGAGGACAAAAGGGCAGAATGTGGCAGTGCATACAATCGTTGGGGTTTAGAAGATGAGCTCTGAGATAAAATATCTTGAGCTTACTTTAAAAACATCGATACTAGAGCAGCACCAAAAGCATTTGATACAAAGTATTGATAAGGTTGCCAAACAAAAGAAAGGGATCTCATGAATTTCCGTCATCTCATCATTAAAGTACACCGATCATAGCCAACCCAGTTCACCTCAATTTACTGGAGGAAAGAAGCACTTCACAACTGAAATATTTTTACAACATCAACCACTTGAAATGATCCATCTCGGATCATATCACACTATACTTACCAGAAAATCTTCACCTCCATGGAAATTATTATCTGTATCAACCTAACTGAAACATGCAGATGGCTTTCAGAAAGAATCCTCATGGAAAGCTAACAGCGAAGATGTACTGCAGTCTAATTCAAAGGGGATTTGCAAAATGCGTCATCACAAAGATCTGACTGTCCCTAAAGATGTATCCTTACGAGTATAATGTGCAACATACATTTTTAACCAGCACACAACACACAAACAAAATCATCACAGCTTTGCGAAATCTCAAGAACAATTACTTACAGAGTAATGTTTCACTCGTAAATAGCACAGAGGATTAAAACTGTTTTGGGATTTATTAAATGTTTTTTTTTTAATATATATATATATATATATATATATAGAAAGATGAATGTTGCAACAAAAATAATACCAGCGTCTTGTGACCTATCTTGCTGGTAATTTGTCTAGCAAATATCAGCACCGTACTCGAAGTCTTCTGGACTTTCAAAGTGCCTAAAGTGTATTCATATGGTCGACACTTTGGGGAAAACATCTTCGAATACAGTCTGGAGCATTCACCCCATGTATTGTTGTGGCCATCCAGACAACTGCCCCTCCATCAAATCCTTTCACTGGAATAAAGAGCATCCTTATTACAGCCCGTTTGCTGTCAGATCACTGTAGCATGTATTTCAAAGACATGTAAAATGAATGCACTTTTGACCGGATTTCCTTTTAAACAGATTGGTGTATATATATAATGGCATCATCCGTATGTTTAATGGTATAAAATGCTGACATACATACATACATACAGGTATAAAGCTTTGCAACTGGCAGCGGAGCAGACTTTTTTTTTTTTTCATTACCTTATTTATCACAATTGTGACCCGTCTGACCTCGACAATGATCAAGCTATTGCAGTACTTTCCTGAGCGGGATGAGAAGAGACTCACTGTGTACATCCTCTTTAGCTACACAACAACATGTACTGCAACCTGGTCACTCAGTTTCCAATCACTCATCCTTTTTATGCTGTATGGCAATAATAACTCACTCCAGATGAATGTAGCTAATGGTAGACTGGATTCAAGCTCTGCCGAGAAAAAGACAGGCTTCAAAGCGAAACCTGCCCGCTTATTTCCCTAAAATAACAAGGTGTTTGTTCAAATTTACATCCCAGAAATACAATAAACAAGCAAACATGAAAAAATATTCAGCGAAACTGTGGAGTGAAGCAAACAGTTTACTATCAGCAGTGTGTGTTAACCCAACTTTTTCAACCTTTACGAATGGCAAAATGAATCAGAACAACACATACATGTCCTATATAATAGTGACATTGTGATTTTTAGCAGAGAGCCCAGAAAATATCAATTCAGACACAAAGTGAGGAGCTTCAAATTATTTGAACGCATTAGCCTTGATAGAGTAAACAAGTTTTATCTTTGAATAGAATAATGATCGTGGTAATAATGGAGTTTTTATTCATTTGGAAAATACAATATTTTGAGGCTACATGCGTCATAATTGTGTTGGCAACTTGCTTACTTTCGAGGAGAGACGTTTTGCAGTGCGTGCGCACGCGACTGTGTGCGTGTGCTTGAGTGAGTGACAGATAGACAGCGACAGAAATCGAATGAAAATACAAAAAATTGATTAATAGGATCTGAAATCAGCTAAATTGTCTTGAAGTGGAGGCTAAGGGCACGAGAGAACGCGCCTTATTGAAAGACAGAATGCGCGTGACCTTGAGGCAAATACACCTGTATCCCACAAAACGCTCATGACGCAGTTAAGGAAACTAAAATCTGATTGAAAAACTGAGCGCTGTTTGGTTGAGAGGGCCGTTTGATATTTGTTGTTCGGTGTGACCATCACATTTTCTTTTTTGCCAGATTCGAGTAATAACAATAATCAAAAAAATGTTATGTTACTGTTCACTATGGCCTATAGAAGATATACCTCAGTCAAACCAGTTTAATACCTTTGTGTTAAAGGCCTGACCAGTTCATGACATCTAGAACATAAAATAAAAGCTCTGCACGTGAGAGTTTCCGCCGTATCCATTATTGCACAAAATTGCAAACCTGCAAATATGGCGTGGGCTATTAAAAATGATATAATTAGAAATACAATTTTTAAAAATCTAATGAAAATGCATTGATTGGGTTTAACCACACACGCCTGATCAAAGAGAATATAGACACTTTAATAAAATATAGAATACATAATTAATTATACAGTAGGCTTATGTACAGTAGAACTGTATGCTAATTAAACGTTTTCATAATATCACGAACACTGGTTTGAGCTCACACTGGTCTTACTTTGCACAGAAATGTGAAATATACATAATACCAACAAGAATACGAAGGTGTTATGAAAAGGGGGCGAATATGAAACTTAATCAAGGGGAGAGAAAAAAACCCGAGCCTCGCAGTATTTTAATTACAGGCAAATCATGCTTCAGGCCCATCAGGCGGGCTTGTTCGGTCTTCAAACTTAACTTGAGAAGAGATTTCTCTAAAATGTCTTTGTATAGGCTACATATAGACATGAATGTTTCTACCTTCCGACATACATTACATCTAGTTTACATTCAACAAAGACCCCTACACTTAGGGCTACATTCAGCAAGACGTCTCCTACATTTACTTTACAGTAAGTTCAGAGGACTCAACACGCAGATTTCCATAAAAGCCTTTGTCATTTTTTTGTCTCACTTAAGATAGATATCTTTAATAATTACGCAACACAGCGAACAATTAGCCATATACACTTTGTAAAAGTCCCTAGAACCCACCGTGGGGTTCATGTGGCTATGGGCTGTAAGCCAAACCCAAACCAAACAAATAAAGCTCGACACATTTCGCAATTTCAATAGGCTATGACTCGACGTGTGTGTCACAAAATATTTGATACAACATCCACAAAAAATACACAGAGTAGTAGAGATACAGCTGTACGTGTTTGGGCTATAACATGGACAAATATGGGCCGCACGTGTCCCAACAGGAACTCAAAGAGACGGGATGTTGTTGCATTGCTTTGGGAACGAGTCCACGCCGCTGTGGCATGTGTACCATCCATTGACAATACTTTTCTGAAAGGGAGAAGTAGAGGGGAAAGTCCTTGAGCTCTGGGCAAACGTGTGACCTGTCTGGCCGCAGGGGTACTGGGAGGACTGGGACCTGTAGCTGCCTCTCTGTAGCAACAAAGGGTCCAGGAGGGGCTGCGACCTGTGTGTGGAGTAGTCCAAACTGCTGTCAAACGTGTGATGGAAACGTGACCTCGGGGTCGACTCGTCTCGACTCTCCGGGGACAGGGGGATATCTTGAGTCGACGGCGGCGGGTGGGGAGGGCTGATGTGGGCTCCGTCCGGGACTCGGGTTGACCTGTCCTCCGCGATGTGACACGCGTCGCCGGGACGCGCGTCCTCGCTTTTGACGTCGTGGGCCCTGCTGCAGTGGAGCTTCATGTGCTTTCGCAGGGAGCTTGGGTGGGTGTAACACTTGTCGCAGCCACTGACCTTGCACGTGTAGGGTTTGTCGCTGGAGTGCACGTGAGAATGCTTCTTTCTGTCGCTGCTGTTCGCGAACCTCCGGTTGCAGCCGTCGAACTCACATTTAAACGGTTTTTCACCTAAACGTTCAAAAAGAGAAATGACGGCGAGTTACGAAAATACTTACAGGCCCCGTGCACGCTCTCTCTCTCTCTCTCTCTCTCTCTCTCTCTCTCTCTCTCTCTCTCTCTCTCTCTGGCCTTATATGCTAATACTGATTAGCCTACGTGAGTTCAGTGCCCTCCATCCCACCACATTATATGAAAAAAGTGAGCTTGCAAAACAAAACAAATGCACATCCGGGCATCACACTGAAATGACTGGAATCTAAATCATCAGCTTTGAACATGCGACTCTGGCAAACACAGAGCCGCTTTTCCCCTGGCCTTGCCTTGCTTTTTAAATGCCACATCTTTATAGTAAATTGTTACTAATGTGCAAAAACTAGGACTGCTTTGAGTCATGAAATCACTGACTTCAAACTACTTGCTTGGAAACTGGCGCAGGCCTGTTTGCAACAAGTGAGGCAGTGTGCGGACTAAATCAGCCATCAGGCTGCAGTTAAACATGCATTAGATTATGATAAACCTGCGACAGCAAATGCAAAGATTTGTTTAAATGGAGTTATTATCATAGAATGAATTATGGCTATCAAGATGCTAATTGATCTCCTCGCACAAAATTGCCTACAGCTGCGCACTGTCTCCCCTGCTCACGCGCTGATATAGCGGACAATCAGGAAGAGCTGGACTCATAAATACAACTGTCATAGTTTCTCCTAAATCTTCATTTTGCAGGCCTGAGTGTTAATGGGCGTCTATATTTCGGAATTTCAAAGAAATGTTCATATATTTTTCTGCCATAAATTGTCTAATTAGCAACACTACGCATGTGCAGTAATAAGAAATGCCATTAAGCGTCACCTTTCCTGTCTATTGTCTTTGCTTTCATTAGTAAAACAATGGAACACCAGAAGTAAAAGGGGTCGCCTAATAAATATGTTTTATCTCCAGCCTCCCTCTTTCTCTGAAGACCATTCACTTTATTCGTTAATTATATTTTCAATTGAAATGCCTGCATTTCATGATTACACCTTGTGAGATCCCGGTCATGCAATCCCTGAAGTGTGTGTGAAAGATAAGAATAAAATAAGATTGCACAGTAAATCCTTTTTGCAGACGATAGTAGTGTGCTCAAATGGGGCATAAAAGGAAAGACCCAAGAAAGTCAGTTCTAAAATTAAATGCATCTTATGATATAATTTTGGTGGCCAGTAACAGGCCTATCAAAGTGATGGAAATGAAACGAGGATAAGGAGACGTGACTCATTTTGTTTCAATTTATAATCATTTCATTTTGCTGACTGAGGTCATGCGTTTGCTCACGTTTTTATTTCCTACTACATCACAGTGTGATGTGCTCTGCTAGTGTTCCTGAGCACAGGAGAGGATGAGTCCCTGGGAGGCAGAGACAGCGTAACGGCTACGTCACAACGCTCCGGTGTCCCGGCATTTATTTAATAATTTCACTGAATGAAGTGGGAGAGGCACCCTAACCACTAGGCCTGCAGACACTCCTTTGTAACTGCCTTACTGCTACTCCTCTGTGGTGCCTGTATGGAGCCTGAACATGCTTTTCTGCTGCAGATCACGCAGACAATAACAGAGACGGCAAGAGGCAGCGAGAGAAGCTTTGCGTAACAATATTTTTATAACAATGATGGCCTAAATAACACAGCACAGTGTAGTAATAACAAAAAACAATGTGTATGTATTATTATTATTAATAATAATAATAATAATAATAATAATAATAATAATAAGAAGAAGAAGGATTATAACAGTAATAATGTGACAGAATTGGCAAACTTCCCTAATTCGTGAAATAATGAAAAATAAATATGTTGACACAGATAGACACAGCAAAACTCATAAATATTAATTAAATAGTTTGTGTTGAAAGTTGAAAAAACGAACCACATTTTTTTTCAAACGTCACTTGCCAAAATGTACAATTATGACTATCATCATTATTATTATGATAATAATCATCATGATCAAATGACGTGCTTTAGTATGATTATGAACTAACCTGTGTGAGTCCTCTTGTGGATTTTAAGATTCTCTGATCGTGCAAAAACTTTCTCACAGCCGTGAAAGGGGCAGGGAAAGGGCTTTTCCCCTGTGTGGACTCTGACGTGGTTCACCAGCTTGTATTTGGCTTTGAAAGGCTTCCTGTCCCTCGCACAATTCTCCCACTGACAGACATACTCAGAGTGATCTGGTCCTCCGACGTGCTCCACTGTCAAATGGGCGACAAGTTCATACATGGTCCCGAAGGCTCTGGAGCAGGACAGCTTCCCAGCCCCCTCTTGGCCGTCAGTCCACTTGCACACCAGCTCGTGCTTCACCATTTGCTTAGAGCACCTGAGGAAAGCGTCGCCTCCTCCACGTTGAATTGCCATGTTGAGGGGTTTGTACAGACCCAGGAACTGTGAGACAAGCTGCTGTCTGTTTCCCTTGGGGCTGATAGTTTGGCCATAGTGGTGAGTCCGGCTGAGGAGGTCGCCAGGTAGACCCAGCATCATCTGGCTGCCGAAATCTCGAGATGCGTCGGTGGAGGTGTGGGCCTGCTCCTGATAACTGGAGAAAAAAGCATGGCTTCTGTTGTCTCTGTAGCCATGGAAGTCACGATACCTTCCAATCCCGCCATGTTGGTTCGCTCTTGATGCCAGTTGATCAGTGACGGGTGGCATACCGGCTCCAGAAAGATTGGCTCCAATGAGAATGCCCCTAGGGCTGTGCTCTAACCGGTGGCTGTGGTATCCAGAGTCTGAAAAATTGGGAACCGAATGGTCAACATATGCACTGGACCTCGTCTCGGGGTAGTCTCGCAAATTGTGCGCAGGGCAGAGTTTTAAGGAACTGCCAGTGGGGAGTCCCATGTGCTCTCCTGCCAAAGGTGGCAGCACCATGCTGGGTTCAGTATTGCTCTCCCCGGGGTTGACGCAAGAGAGAGGGCAGCCACTAAACCTCGAAAGGCTTGTCATGTTTTGTTGTGAGTTTTGGCTATGAGTTTGCAAAATCAACCAATTCGGCACTCAGGATACACCTAGAAGTTCCCTCTCCATGTCCCTTGTCTGTGTATCATCTGCATGTGAAATTCTTGGCCGTGAACTTCGCAGAAGTAGGAACCAGACTCAGTTTCGTTAAAGTTGGTGCGAGTCCCATGCCGTTCACTTTGCCCTCTTGATTTGTGGCAATAACCGTGGTAGTAAAAAATGCTTCGAAACAGGCCATGGTGCAATATAAAAGCACAGCAGGCAAACCTGCTTTTAAAAAGGGAGCTTTGGGATTGGTTGGAATGCGCCGTGATTGACAGGCGCTGGGTTTGTTTTAAAAGGGACACGCAGGCGTTCGCCGCACGACTCCGTTTTCAAATATCGCAGAGAAAATGCTTTGAAATGTGCCGCGATACTTGCAAATGTTGCTGCCTCTTTAACTCCAGCGCGCACTCTCGTGAGACCCCCTTCTCCAAATCTCTACATATGATAAATATGAAGCGTAATGTGTAATACTGATCATCTGATGGAAGTCATGCAATTAAATGCAGACATGGGCGAAACATAAGACTATCACAGTCCATCTACCGTCTTTTATGTCGCTGGAATGAATAGTGCCAAAGCAAATGTCCAACGCTCTGCCCTGCAAGCATAATAGAGACTGGCCATAGCGTGTCCAGGCCAATTATTGTCAAGACTTTCATTTTGAGTGGAGATTGAGAACAGTGAGAAACACGCATTTAAAAAAAAATAAATAAAAAAAATTTGAAATTATTCAAAATACTAATCCTGCCGTCATTGCCCTGTATGAACACATTTAGCAGTTTTATTTTTTCCTGAAATGTAATATATAGTTCTGAGCTCTCATGGAGGTAAAAAATACTTTTGAGTTACACGTTTATGTGTGTATTTTTTTATATGGGCACAAAACTACTTGTCCTCATTACCAAAGAAAAATAAAACTTTGATAAAGCAACAAGTTGTTCATCGTGTCAGCAGACCACCAACATATCATGATCTTCTTACAGGAAGAAAGTTATTTCAGATTCTAGTAGTTCACTGGGGAATACTTCAGAGCAGGATGTACCGTTTTACATTTGAGCCCAACGTGAACCATTTCCACACATGCACCCTTTTATATTAAGCTTTAATAAATTAATAATCATCTACAGTGCACCATGCGTCTTGCAGGCTCGCACGTGTAAAATTGGTTATGTAAAAATGTAAATGATGAAAGGTGACAAACAGCAGTGGATAGGCTCTGTTCCTGGGAAACTGATAAACTTTCTTACTTAGGGGTGCTGTGAGGACAGCAGCTCCAAGCTCCCCACGCTCCTCTGGTGCAGCACAGATTTCTGCACGTCTTCCTCAGTTCGACGTTGCTCTGATTCTATCAGCGCACTTTCTTCAAGACCACTTTATAGCCAAATTATTTTATCTGTTGCTTTTATTTAAATGATATACGACGTGGCGTTGGCTCCGGACTGCAGTTTCATAGGTGTAAGGTGGAAAGCCCTTCATTATTTCTAAAGACTGCAGCTGGCAGAATTTTCAACATTTTCTTAAAATAAAAAAGAAAAAAAAAAAAGAAATCCTTTGCCACATTGTTATGCTGACGTCACCTGCAGTGGATCCTAGGCAGAGACAAAGCAAGGGACCCACTTGACATTAAGTGCCGCAAAATAGTAGACATGCCCGGAACTGGCCTAATTCCGTCATGATTGTAATGGACGCTCATGTTTGTCAACCTTTAACCCGATGCTTTTCCTAAAATGATTGAGGGTTGAAGGCCAACAAACCGAAAGTTTCCAACCTGTCATTCAGAAAGCAGAAAGGAAGCCCCAAATCATTCCAGCTCTTCATTTACAACAAGAATGTAAAACAAGAAATGGACTATTTCTTTTATGATATAATATTCAGGCTCACCTTTTCAATAACAGTCAGTGCTATCTGCCTCCATATAGCAGCAGCTTATACTGTAATATTTCTATAAAGGACTAAGAATATTTTAATTCCCCTTAATGTGCATGACTTAATTAGAATTTAGCCTATTAATCATAGTAAATAGCCCATTCATTTTACTGCAATACTGTATGGAATTCTAAAAAGTATCTAATTGTTAAATGTATATGTTCAGAACATACCTTGAAACAAAAAAATGTATTTCATAGGATAAATGTTGGAGTCGTATACGGTTAGCTTCACAGCAATAAACAATACAATTATAATGGTAATGGCCAAGACGTGCAAACATATATGTATTACCTAGTTGAGGACTTTGTCATGTTACTATTACGTCTTTACAGTAGACTATTATTAGTTTCATGTGATAAAATACTCCAAATCCATGAAAATGTTGCTTTTTAAATTTAGAAACTACACAGGGATCTCAAGTTTAAATATCTACATTGTAACTGTAAATTGTAGCATTTTGACATCTGCAATCCCTCCCAACCCTCCAGCTTCATGAGTGCGGCCATTTATGTTGGTTGCTTGACAGGCCGGACAAAATCCTAGTGACTGTTGCACACAAAATATCACTCCCAACTATCAAAACACACATGTCAGGGAATACTCCTTACATCCATGAGATCCCAGTCAATCTCAGTACAGTGAATGTGGAACAAATGAATGACAAAGGGTGAAATACAGACATGAAATTAAACAGAAAACAAATGGAAGACCAGAGTCACACGACATGGTAAAGACTGGACTGAAGGTTGAGCTAATTTCATTTCTTGAGAAGAAATCTTTAGTATAACATGCATTTCCTGAATGTTCATTGTATTTCATTCTACCTCTTAAATGAATAAATGCATTTCTAGAAAAAATTAAGAATATCGGACATCGCCTTTTTGCAAAAACTTTTTGCAAAAAGGCGATAAACATAATAATCTGTTCCCAGTGAGAATAAGAATCACCAGTAATGTCAATGTAAGACAAGATATGGCAAATAAATAAAGGGAGGATAGGGAGCATGCAATTATTTCAAGTATCCAAATTTGTGTGTGTGACGGACACAAAGTTAATATGTTCATAAATGTGGTACAACCAGGAATGCCTTAATGTGTGTGTGTTTATGCATGTGTGTGTACGTTTAAACAACTGCATGCATCAGTGTGGAGTAGTGCTGAGACATAATTGATGAGGGAAGGCGGTGCACAGTCTTACCATGACTTTATGAAATTTAGATGAATTAACAGGTTTGGGATCAGTCCATTTGCAGACAGATGCTCCAGTAAATCACAGCAAGAAGTCAATTAGGCCTCTCCTTCAGCCATATGAAGGCAAACACTAGCACTGTAGCAGTCACTCAAGACCCAACTGACCATATAATGTATGACGTATAGATGGCGATCCGTGCTGTTATTCTTGTACTGTATTGCAAGTACTGTACAAACCTTATACTTATAATAAACAATATGAAGAAAATATGGAGTAACAAAACGTTTGTTTCTCCTATGACAAGCAAAAAGTAATCACACACACAGCACAAAAATATGCCCGATAGCGTTGCAACACAGTCAGGCATTACATTGTGAAATTCCAAATTACAAGACACTTAAATTGTCATTCGTCATGTACAGCTCTATCTATGGTGGCAAATTCATTGTCATTATCAGCTGCTACACTTGTACAGAAATCTAAAATAACAGTTGATTATAGGCAACAACATACAACGTATACTACTTTGTTTCGTGAAAACATTAAGCATTCAAGGGGATGCAAATGAAGCATGCAAAAACAGTATTCTCACTGAAACAAATGTAAGCCACGATGTATTTTCTTCTGAGAATGTATAAAATCTACTGGATTATGCTATGAATGTAGACCAGAACCTGAGCCTTTATACTGTTAGGGGCTCTGCAGAATGTAGGAGGGCAGAGAAAAGTGTCATGGAGGATGTATTATTTATTTATTAATTTATTTTTTTATTTATTTTTTTAAATCGAGGAGTTGGCACATTAAACCAAAGCAAAAACCTGCAAGATCCTGCAGCACAATGTCTATTGAAGCGAAACAGTGAATCACAATGTCATTCATTTAACTGTGCCGTTGGGAAACTTTGACCATTTTCTGCCTCTTTAAAAAGGGAGTACGGAAAACACATTTGCATACAGTGGTATATGATAAATGTAAGTACTGCATGGGCTTTGGTTTTGCCATTGTTTTTGGAAGATGAAGATTTCACTTTTTCCGGTCACTATTGAGTTAACTTCAAGTCCACAAACTCTTCTATAGCACAAGCGGCCTGCAGCCAAGCAGGCTACAGGCCAGACTGCATGGACTGAAAAAAAAATTAAAAAACTAAACATTGCAGTCAGAAAATATCCAGAAGATTGGGCTGCCATAGGCACATTTCTTTATATTAGAATTATAGTGATCATGCATCTACGTTATTTATACATGTATGCACTATAACCTTTACTGAATATATCGAGGTAGAAATAAATGTATAAATGTGAGTTGTTTACCATTTAGGCTGATGGTTATGTTCTGCTCTTTTCCAACAGCATGGGCCTACTGTCTAAGAGGTATGCACACTACAATGTTGTGATATTTTAAGGTAACGCGCATGCCCAGTTAGAAGACGATTATGTTATAACCAATGGGCTATCCCAACGCCCAATGAGGTAATCCCAGCAGAGATAACTAAATCATCAAATTATTCATAGTGCTGCAGAATAGCGTGCTATAATATAGCACGTTGCATTACGCCCACGTTTGAATGATCGTTAAAGATTTTACACTGCGTCGGACATTTGAGCCAAACAAAACACGGGCCTAGTCATAGATGCAAAGTCATTTAACACAAAAAAAAAAAATGTAATTAACATATTTAAAGGTTAAAATAAATATGTAAAATCGTGTGGTTGCAAAACTAGAAAATATAGCAGTATACATTTTACCAAAATGTAATTAAATAGATAAGTCAAAAATAGAGGTGAAATGTGAAGGGCGGCATGCCCGAGGACCGGTGTAAAATATTCTGGTAAAAAAAATGTCTGGTGTGAGACAAACTGTTAAGAAATGTGCAGCTCTATAAAAAGGCCTATGAAGCTGTCTTTCCCCTCTTCTTCTATTGTCCAGTACAAATAGTAGGCCCATTAATGGGCCAACGCAGTCTGCTCCTTTCAGGCAGGAAGAGGTATATTTTATTTTTCAAACAGGAAGTTTTAATTGAAAAAATATGAACCAATATTCTTGCAATCCCGACTCAGATGTGTCTTGATGCTGGTGAAATACATGTTTAGAAAGGGCGTTTTTGAAGCCCCAAATCACCACATCCCTTATTTGTAGAATTAATTAAATAATACAATATGCACTAAATACCAGTATACCAGAAACGATCTGCAGTAGTTTTGAATTCAACTCTCAAGCAACAGTTGCTTTACGTTAGGCCTAGTCGATGACAGCTCCCCTTTTTTTCTCAGCAAGAGCCGTGCCGACGCTGCTTTTCTGTCCCACACAAACATTTGTGACTCATCTAAACCATGTTACTTGTGATAATGTGGCTGCAAATACACGGCGCATAACCTTAAGTGGCGTATGGGCCTTCACGTTTCAACAAGCCAATAAAATATGGAGGGAATACAGGAAAACTTAACAGGCTGCTTGTCACTTGTGAAAGTTTACAAAGGTCGCCATAAATCCTACAAGACTGCAGTAGGCAAACTCGGTTAACTGTGTGTGTGTGTGTGTGTGTGTAGGCACCGTGGTCTCGTGTGTGTGTGTGTGTGTGTGTGCTCGTGGTAGTACACTGCGTGTGTGTGTGTTCGTGCACGCGCATGCTGTGTGCGGTGAGAGAATATGAGTGTGTGAGAGTGAAGGGAGGAGTAAACTGTGAGAGGCTATGCCTTCGTGGTGAGAGAGAGAGGGAGAGAGGGAAAGAGAGAGAGGCAGACAAACAGAGGGAGGGGGGGAGAAGGGGAGAGCGAGAGAGCAGTTTACGGAGGAAAAGGAGATGAAGTGAATCTCATTCGTCGTTTTGCTTCAAGATAAGTTGTCGAGGTTATGTACAAAAAGCGCAAGTGTTAATGCGAAATAAACTAATGTGCCATAAAAACCAGAGGTATGTGTCCTTGCGACATTTACATTACCATATGAGTAACAGGCCTCAGTCAGCAGACTGTTCACTTCAAGAAAACTAAATCCCATGCAGCCTCCACCGGATAAATATAACAACTAGATGTACACACTTCCACACAGGCCTGCCATGTGTTACTAACACCGAAAGAAGAGGAGAACACTCACCTTTTCAATCTAGAACTCTATCTCGAGGAAATGTTCTGGAGTGAATGCGGTAGGATGAGGGCGAAAGCAGAATGAAGGACTGATTTGAAGATTTTTTTTTTTTTTTGTTCTTGGTCCAGATCCCCTAAAATAAAGAATGTGAGCTCCTTCCTGGGACAGATTGAGGGGGAAAGGATGTGAAAGGCTTGGAGTTAAAAAGCGCCGCTTGAAGCACTCAGCGCGTCTCTGAACTTGATCAGATTTTATGTGTCCTGCAGCGAGTCAGCGGCAGCCCTGTGAAACTTGCTCAATGGCACGAAATTTTGGCTGAGCGAAAAAAATCTCAGGATATTACAATTACTGCCATCTTTCTTTCTGTCTTTTATTCCTCCGTCTTACACCCTATAGAGCTTTTGCAAAAAAAGAGAATACCCCCTCCCCTTTCAAGCGGCTTCAAGAAAGCCACATATTGGATCTGTGCCAAGTACATTCAAGTTTTCAGTTAATAAGAGCCAAACCGGTCACATGAAAGAGAAAATAAGACAGATAAGTCAATGACATATAAACTACCGATAGATAGATATATAGTTTTTTTTTCAAATATACAGGCCCTCTCAAGTTAAGATTGCCTTTAAAATGTATTAAACGTTTTTTAATATATTACATTTGAAAAAAAACTTTTTTTGGCAAACCAACTAATTTATGTTGCAGAATAACTTCGTTAACAACTACTGTAAAATAACAAGAGTGTTGAACGGAATATGGTTGTTAAAAACCTCCAGTAGGTATAATAGTCTGCACCGATAACATGCATCTTTATTTGTAAAACTGCTTGGGAGTTTCTTGAGGAGTGTAAATCACGTACGTCTGCATAAGACATGCGCTGCACATAACACATCCAGGATCTGCGCTAGAGTGCTCCGTTATACCTGCAAAATAATGCCTGTAAGAGCCAATCAAATGAAACCAATTGAGACGACCTGCCATCTTCAATACCAAACCGTGCCAATCACCAGAAATCTAGCCAATTAACACCCTCCGTCGCAGTCACGTGTCTGAGGGGTAGCCGAGCGCCGATTGGCTGTCGTAGCTCTGCCTCCCGAGTTCATTTATGTTCTGGGAGTGAGTGATTGACTTTATCAGTCCAAGGACATCATCCGCCTGGAAAGGGGGGGAAGTTTGATCCGCTTTCTCACGGATCGCAGTCAACGGGAGTTTTTTTTCTCTCCCAACTCTTTACGCATAGGATTTTTCCCGTTTTGGCTCCGTTTGTTTTTTATTTTAGGATTTCTTTCGACAAAACGTGGTAAATCTCGGCGCGGTGTCTGCAGCTTGCGCGCTCCGCTACACTGGATTTTAATTTTATTTTCTGTTTTCTTCCCGTCTCCTAAGTTTGCTTCAAGCTCATGACTATGCTTCTTGATAGCGGTCCGCAGTTTGCATCGTTAGGAGTGGGGGGTTTCGGGACACCGCGGCACCACGAAATCGGGAACAGAGACCCAGGTCTGGGACTGAATCCCTTCTCCGATTCCTCCCACTCCGCGGCTTTCAAAATTAGCCCCGTGGCTCACGATATAGCCTCCAGCCAGACGTCAGCTTTCACCCCACAAGCCACTGGATATGCAGCTGCCCTGGGACACACTCACGGCGGGCAGGTGGGCTCGTACGGCGGGGGAGCGTTCAATTCAACACGGGACTTTCTCTTCCGGAACCGGGGTGTCGGAGAGTCCACAGCGCCGGGCGCCCAGCATGGGATCTTTGCAGCTTCGGCGGGGAGCCTCCACGGGCCGCCGGGGATCACCGATAACCCCGGACATCTGTTGTTTCCAGGACTTCACGACCAGGGGGTGAGCCACGCTTCACCGAGCGGACACGTAGTTAACAGCCAAATGCATCTTGGCTTGCGCGGGGACATTTTCGGAAGACCCGATCCGTACCGTCCGGTCGCGAGCCCTCGGACGGACCCCTACGGCACGCAGCTCCACAACTACAGCCATCCTATCAACATGAACATGGGGATGAATGTGCCGACACACCACGGTCCGGGGGCCTTCTTTAGATACATGAGGCAACCGATTAAACAAGAATTGTCCTGCAAATGGATTGACGAGAACCAGATGAACAGACCCAAAAAGACGTGCGAGAGGACTTTCAGCACCATGCACGAGATGGTCACTCATGTGTCCATGGAGCACGTCGGCGGCCCCGAGCAGAGCAACCACATCTGCTTTTGGGAGGACTGCCCGAGAGAAGGGAAATCTTTTAAGGCCAAGTACAAACTCGTCAACCATATCCGTGTGCACACGGGCGAGAAACCGTTCCCGTGCCCGTTCCCCGGATGTGGGAAAATATTCGCCAGATCGGAGAATTTGAAAATCCACAAAAGAACGCATACAGGTAAGGCACGGACGATATCGCGGCACCGCGTGCGTAAAACTACATTTAATAAGCGAAAGCTATTCTGAATTAGAAATTGTGTGTATGTTTCAGAGTGCTCCGGAAAAAAATATGTTGATGTTTACAAGAACATGAATCTGAGAACTTAGGCCCACTTTACCGTGGTGAACAGTTCCCAAATTGTTTCTTAGTGTAGTTTATTCTGTATCATTTCTACATACAGCTATAAATGGCTCAATAATGCAGACAAAATGTGGTTCTGTTGAGCAACTCTGTGCGTTACCCCCTCAGTAATTATTGTAGCTTTCATGCTACGAAGATCTGTGCGACATATAAAAGACACAGGCTACTTTTACTCACTTGATGAAGTTAAGGCGTTTTCATCTGCGTCGGGCTATTAAAAGTGTTGTGCTTTCTGGACGCCATGTAGAATTATAAAGGAGCAGTGACTGGCTGCGTTTAGAATTGTCGTCCTCGCTCACACGTCACGTTTAGTGCAGAAGATGCCCTGTTGATTCAGTGTTTACTATTACGAGCAGACGCACAGAGCAGGCCAGCGGTAGCATGAAGAAGCAGGCCTCTTGAATAAATAAAGCCTGACAGAGCAGAGTGTAGTAGTGGAGCTGTATCCATGTCGCCCCGAAAATGTAGGTTATACTCTCGTTATATAACAGGCTGCAGACAATTTACATCTCCGGGCTTCGGCTTTTTTTGTTTTGTTTTACAGGTGGTGTTACAATGGGAGTTTGTTTGTGCGGGTCATTGAGGTAATTCACGGTCTGTGTGTGTGTTTAATCCTGCAGGTGAGAAGCCGTTTAAGTGTGAATTTGATGGCTGTGACAGACGCTTCGCCAACAGCAGCGACAGGAAAAAGCACATGCATGTGCACACATCAGACAAGCCATACATCTGCAAAGTGTGCGACAAGTCATACACACACCCCAGCTCTCTCAGGAAACACATGAAGGTAATTAACGTCTTCATTACTCCTTAAAGACATTAACACACACATACACCCCCCCCCCCTCCCCTCCCCCCCTCTACTGCCACAGACAGGGACTATCACACTTCAGGCACTGTCACCCTGCTTAAGATCTATGTTGGTTACACTTTAACTCTAAATTAAACGATTGAAACATATCAGTGAACGAATCGTGAATATTCCACGTCTGTCACTCTTTGATCCACAGCTTCAAGCCTTTTCGCCTTATTAAAAGTAACCTGTGTAGAGAAAACGTTTAAATGTGCTCTCATCATTGCCATTTTTTAAAATCACATACTTTTAAAAGAAACTACATTTTAAGGCGCACATTACTGGCGCATAGATGTGGATATGTTTTGCATTGTGGAAGTTGCCGTGCCTGTTTCAAGTTGGCTGTGTGTTTACTGTTAAAAGTAGCTCAATAACATCCAGAGTTAATCCGCATTTAAGTCCAACACACTTCTACCGAGTCACTTTAAAAGCACTGTCGGAGCATAAATGAATAGCATACGTTTGCCTGAGTGATTCATTATTTTCTCTTGTTTTTTTGCAGGTACATGAGTCTCAAGGATCTGAATCGTCTCCAGCAGCAAGCTCTGGATACGAGTCGTCCACACCGCCAGTGCTGGTCTCAGCCAACACTGAAGATCCGACAAAAACACCACCGTTAGCCGTACAGAACTCGTCTGGCCACAGCGAAGGACTGGCACCCAACTTTAATGAATGGTACGTTTGAAGTCAGAAGAACAAACCCTCTCTCAATGTGGACCACAGGGTTGAAGATTAACGAGGATAAAAAAAAAACCTTAAACACTATTCCTGTCCTCTTCACAGACATTCATACACACACCTACACACTCTCTCTCTCCCTCTCACACACACACACACACACACACACACACACACGGGATTGGGACAACAACAACAACAGGAGATGAGAGCAAAAGCCAGCATAAGCAGGCCATGTCCGTTCTCAGGATCACGAAATTTGACTTGTATTCCGCAGTTTTGAGGAAATCAAATAAAAATCACGAATAAATAAAACGTAATACTTTCTCAGTACAAATAAATGTTTTTTTATCTTTTA